TTACTCATGGAGCAAACAAATTAAATTCGGCAAACACTGGCTGAGGGATGAGGCAGGATAGTATAATGTAATGGTTCTCAAAACTTGTCAGTATATTGGAATCACCCGAGGAGCTTTTAAACATTCCAAAACCCAAGACCAATTAAATCACAGTTTAATGTATTAAATGTACTTTTTGAAGGTGTGTTTTTGAGACTCTCCAGGTGACTAATGTGCAGACAAATTGGGGACCACTGGTGTAGTGGCTAAGAATGTATATTTTTGACTCAAACTGCCTGGATATGAAACCAGGCTCCACTAGTTGTTAGCTGTGTGGCCTTGGGGAAGTTGCTTAACCCTTCTGTGCATCAGTTTCCTCCTCTATAAAATGGAGTTAATAATAGGATTTTATGAGGATTATCTGAGTTAATGTATGCTAAGTACTTAGAATAGTGTCTGACACATAGTATGCACCATCTAAGTGTTAAATATTATAGTTACTGTTTCCTAAATGCCTGCTATGAGTAATGCCCCGGGGTAGATATGAAAGATACATGTGTGTGTGTGCTCAGTCATGTCCAGCTCCTTGTGACCTAAGGGACTATAGCCCGCCAGGCTTCTCTGTCCATAGGATTCTCCAGGCAAGAATACTGCAGTGAGTTGTCATGTCCTCCTCCAGGGAATCTTCCCAACCCAGGGACTGATTGAACCTGCATCTCTTGGGTCTCCTGCGTTGTCAAGTGGGTCCTTTACCAGTAGCATCACCTGGCAAGTCATATGAAAGATATGGTCCTCTACTTTGGGGAACTTGGAACCCACTGAGAATATATCAAAATCTAAGACAGAGTGGATATGGCCAATTATTCCAGCCATTTGTTCCGTATAAAATCAATTTGTTTTGCTTCTGAGAAATTGGGTGGCATTTTACGAAGCCAAGGAAAGGAGCAGTCACTCAAAACAGTTTTAGAATTGGAATTCCTGACTTTGAAGATGCCACTTGTCTCCTTTCTCACTGCCATCCAGACGTCTGCTTCCCTGGCACTAAACACAGAGCCGGGGTAGCCTTGGGAAAGCCAGAGGAGCCGGTTCCCTTTTCAGCCTGATGTTCAGGATTGGCTGGTTACAGGGATTTTGACTTGAAGGGTACATCTTGGGTAGCATGTGGAAATAAAAGTCAAGGAGGGCGCTGGAGGCAAAGTCTTTGCGGGTTTGGGTTTTCTGAGGAAAATGAACATTAGCACATCTTTACAGTAAGAATTTCTAAGGCTGTCAGAAGAGGGCAAAGCATTCTTTTACATTTAGGTTTCACTGAGGTATAAAGGAAAACATGACTGCTCACTGCCAAGTACTAACGTCGCTTCCAAAACCTAATGTGAGCCTTTGTCAGCCCAGATGTGGCCTATTTATTTTTAGAGCAATGAAGACCTCAAGGCCATGGCTCAAAAAGCACTTCAGTTTAGTTCAGCTCAGTTCAGTCACTCAGTCGTGTCCGACTCTTTGCGACCCCATGAATCGCAGCACGCCAGGCCTCCCTGTCCATCACCAACTCCCGGAGTCCACTCAAACCCATGTCCATCGAGTCGGTAATAGCATCCAGCCATCTCATCCTCTGTCGTCCCCTTCTCCTCCTGCCCCCAGTCCTTCCCAGCATTAGGGGCTTTTCCAATGAATCAACTCTTCGCATGAGGTGGCCAAGGTATTGGAGTTTCAACTTCAACATCAGTCCTTCCAATGAACACCCAGGACTCATCACCTTTAGGATGGACTGGTTGGATCTTCTTGCACTTAACATTTAGTAAAAGTTATGCACAATCCCCACACCCCTCAAAAAACTATGCTATTTAAAAATCATCATCAATATCATCAATACTGGCTGCCCACTCCAGTATTCTTGCTTGGAGAATTCCATGGACTATCTCAGTTCAGTTCAGTTAGGTCGCTCAGTCGTGTCCAACTCTTTGCGACCCCATAGACTGCAGCAAACCAGGCTTCCCTGTCCATCACCAATTCCCAGAGCTTGCTCAAACTCACGTCCATAGAGTTGGTGATGCCATCCAACCATCTCAAAAGAGTTGGACATGACTGAGAGACTTTCATTTCACTTTACTTCATCAATATCATAGCCTATTTTTAGAGATCCTCTTTTCATATATGTAACAGAAATGTTATAATGAACATTTCTAAGGCCAAATAAATACCTCCCTTTATTCTTCATTTAAGTTTAAACTGGTTTTACTTACTTACTTACTCATCCTACCTGTTTTCTTTAAAATACTATTTTCTTCAAAACCTTCCTTAATCTTTCATACCGATTTCATTTTGAAAGTCATCTTTTTAGTGTTTATGTCCTGTTTGCTGAACTGCGGTTTCAGCCCACTTTCTACCCCAAAGATTGACCTTGAACTAGTCCCTTAACTTGGCTTCACCTCAGTTTCTCAATGGTTTTGATACTAACCAGGCTTCCCAGGTGACGCTAGCAGTAAAGAATCTGCCTGCCAATGCAGGAGACGTAAGCAGCACGGGTTTGATCTGTGGGTCAGGAAGATCCCCTGGCAGAGGAAATGGCAACCCACTCCAGTATTCTTGCCTGGAAAATCCCATGGATAAGGATTCTTGGCCTTCCCTAATCAGAAGAAATTCAGGCAAGGCTTTACTGGGGCCCCTGCAGTAGTTGCAGGAGGGAGTGAAAACATGTAACAGGTTTGCTTGCTTGCTCTCAAGAGGGTGCAAGCTGGGTCCTTTTATGGGGTGAAGGGTAGGGTGTGTCCAGAGATCAAGCTGGAGGGCTGATTTAGGCGGTTTGTGCCCCCCGCTTAGGTGTACGTGCAAAGGGCATCGCAGGACCCTGATTTTTCTCCCAACACCTTGTTTTTGCTCAGACATGGCAGTTGAGTTTTTGGTCTTTTTCTATCTTTTATCCAGAATTTGCCCCACCTACAGCTTGCATGCAGTTTTTTTTTTTTCCTTCCTGCAGTTATTTTTAGACACATATAGGTTCTTTGTATTTTGTAGCTCAAGGAAACATTTTTCCTGGTGTAAGCTTTGCAACTATAGCAGATATAAGAGATGCCGGTTCAGAAAGATCCCTCCTGGAGGAGGGCATGGCAACCCGCTCCAGTATTCTTTCCTGGACAATCCCCACAGACAGAGGAGCCTGGTGGGCTACAGTCCATAGGCTCAAAGTCAGACACGCCTGAAGTGACTTAGCACACACTCAAGCTTTGCAGCACTTTAGCAAAGGGTCCCAGGTCCAAACCTGTCTCAGTGGATCTGCAGCCTTTCTTAGTTAATCTCACAGATGGATCACTACTGGGGAAACACGGAATCAATGATATGTGACATCCATTTAAAATTTGAGTGGCTGTTGCCAATTTCCCTTTTGTAGAAGTTGTACCTACGTAAGTATCCACCAACACGGCTCAAGAGAAATTGTTGTCTCTTCACATTTCGTGTTTTGTTACGTTTTGGAACATATCTGCTGTAACCCATTCATTCAAGGACTTGGCTTTGAAAATTTGTGCAGAAACATTTCTGGGGAAAGAGCGCTCCTCCTTGGATGCCAGCAGGGGGCGCCCGCTCCCCTCCTGAGTGTAACTGGTTTCTTGCATTTGCCCCACAAAGCCCCTGCAGCCCAGCTAAAGCTGAGCAAATCCTGGCCCCACACAGGATGGGAAGATTTTGGAAATACCCTAATTATCCCAACCCTTTCACAAGGCTAGTCTGTGGCAGTCCTCTTAGTCAAGGACATGGCTTCAGATTGAATACAAAAATGTCATTTGATTTCACAATTAATTTCTCCCTGTAAATACCCGGGTGGGTGGTAAAGCACACCCGGCCCCTCTGTCAATCCCCAGGGCTTGTGAAAGTTGCCAGTGTTCCCAGCAAGTTGATAAGGGAATATTTGGGACCTGAGATAATGAAACATGCTTTATATTCAGATAAAGATCTTTTGTTGTGTTTTCCTTGCAAGGTGGGGGAGCGGGTACGTAAAAGTGTGTATGAAATAGGAGCTTCTCTGCTAATTCATTGCTCTGGGAATGCAACCCCAGTCCCCGAATCCCACTACTCAGGGCTGGGACTAAGGAGAGGTGGCCAGGGTCCTTGCCTTGGGCACAAAGTTTCAGGAAGGGAATAGTGTACAGTGGCACCGCAGTGACCAAGATAGCAACTGAATGCCATGTGTTTTTAAGTCAGGCTGTGCTGGGTCTCCGTGGCTGCCTGCAGGCTTTTCTGCAGTGGCGGTGAGCGGCGCATGGACTCCTGGGTGTGGCGGCTTCTCCTGCAGGGCACCGGCCTCGGTGGTTGCGGCACGCGGGCTCCAGAGCACAGATTTAGTAGCCAGGGTGCATGGCCCAGCTGTTTCACAGCACGTGGAATCCTCCCGAACCAGGGAGGCCATTGTCTTATGTTCTTGTGAAACAATCTCTCTGAAATGCAGGCCTGAGTATGACGTTCCCTGTTCAGCATCTCTGCTGACTGGCATGGCCTTCTGATATCTTCTGTCTCCTGAATCTCCTGGAAAGTAAGCCTGGTCTCCTGCCCACTGCCTTAAATCCTACCCCAGATACAGGGAGCTCTGCCACCATCAAGGCAACTCAGATGGTAGGGTCCCTGGCGCTCAGGCCTGTTCTCTGACCTTGCAGTCTCATGGGCATCCCTGGTCTGGACCGAGCCCTGCTTCAGGAGTCCCGCTCACTGAGTAAGTTTCCACCCATCTTGGGGCTGGGTTTCCCGCTCACTGAGTGAATTCCCACCCATCCTTATCAGTGAAATGAGGTTGAACTTGATGATATTTTCTTTTTTAAAATTTTTATTAGATTCATAGATCCCTTGTACTCTTTACTCAGTACTCCCTACTGGTAACGTCTTAACCTAAGTATGGTACGATATCACAGCCAGGAAGCTGACCATATAATTTTTCAGATTGCACCAGTCTGACATGCACTCATTTTGATGATATCTAAAGCCTCTTCTAGTTCACAGGAGGAAATTTCCCACCTGTTCCTCATCAAACCTGTGACTCATCTCTGGAGAACAAGAAACCTTCTGTGTCCATTGCAACACCCGGGAGACTCCCTAGGCTGGGACTTAGGGGGGCTTAGTGCTGCTAATTTTCCATGACAGTTGGGGTGATGGATGCCGCGGGGGAGGGCAGCCGGCAGCCGTGGATTCACAGGACAGGCTCGAAGCCAGAAGTGGGCTGGAGAAGAAGTTGTACTCAGCCCTTCAGAAGAGAGAGAGAGAGAAAAAAAACAGGGGCATGGAGCTGGGAGGGTGGGTCTTTTCTTAATTAATAGATTCCATTAAATTTTATTTACTTAATTTTTGACTGTGCTGGGTCTTTTGCTGTGCGGGCTTTTCCTCTAGTTGCAACAAGCTGGGGGTGCCTCTCTGGCTGGGGTGCATGGGCTTCTCACTGCTGTGGCTTCCGTTGTTGCAGAGCACGGGTTCTGGGGCACGTGGACTCCTAGTTGCCTGATCTTCCTTGATCAGGGTTCGAACCAGTGTCCCCTGCATTGGGAGGTGGATTCTTTATTACTGAGCCACCAGTGATAAAGCCCATCAGATGAATGTCTGATTCATCCGGCCATGCCAGGTGTGAGCCCTACAAGGTGAGCCTGGGCCTGGACCCAGGTGTGAATACCCCAGGTGAGCCCGTCAATGAGAGCCATGGGAACTCAAAAATATTCATTTCTCCCTCAGCGTTGATCCTTTTAACCAAGGCAGGAATTTTTCTACCTGCAAATGAGTAATTGACCTTCCCAGCAGAAGGACAACAGAATCCCCAGCTGTAGCAGTGAGCGCTGTGCTTTGGTTAATATGACAGGCGGCCCATAAATCACCTGTGTGCTTATCAGAGCCCGTGTTGACTGTCTGCTGTTGAACTTCAGGTCAGTGAGCCATGCCGTGACTTCTCAGGCCAGCACACTCTTCCATAGCATGTGGGACTGTTTTTTGCAAGCCCTGTAAGGATTTTTGAATCCGCAACTTTAAAGCAGCACCCGAGAAAGAAGGATAGAGGACATGTTGGGGTCAGCGCACGAGAGACTGGGTCTTATTTTCTCTTACCAATTCTCCCTTCCTGCCTGGATGCTTCTGTCCATTCTGGCCACTATGCTGTTGGGGCTTTGCTCATTGGGTCCTGTGCAGGGACTCAGAAACTGCGCTGCATTGGAGGCAAGCAAGCCGGCTGAGTCCAGCCTCCACCCCTGGGGAGGGGGCCAGTCTGTTGGCAGCAGCTCCGCTACCCAACTCCAAAGAACTGATGTCCTGGGGAAGCCCCAGGAGGTCAGCCCTGAGAGGAACAGGCATGTACCTCTGCCTGTCTCCTGCTTCAGCTCCCGACGTAAGTGCCTGGCAATAGTAGATGCTTAATAAACATCAGCTGAGTGATCGGAGTGAAGACTACATTGCAAGAGCTTCCAAGTGCTCAAGTGAAGCCCGAGGGTGGGGACTTTTTACAGAATTTAAATATTTGTCAAACACCCCCCCCCCCCCCCCGGTCCAGAGTAGATATGTGGGGAGGCAGGATACTGCCTGTTGACCTGAATCCAGGCCTCCTGAATCTCTCTCTCTGTGCTCTCCAGAAAGCCGACAGGAGCTGGGCCGCCGATCAAAGGGCTGTTCCTGATGGCATACAGGGGTCTGGTGGCCCAGCCCCTGCTGGCCTCTCCATCACCAGGCTCCAGGAACTCTGCCTCCTTGCCATTTCCTGAATGAACCTGGGTCTCCTTTGATGTCCCATGAGGATGGGTCCTTCTCATGCAACAGGAGAGGTCCCCCCTCCCCAACCCTTCCTTGGAGACTGGCCTTGGCACCGGGCCCACTGACCTCTCCTCCCCCGGTCCTTCCAGCACCTTGCCTGCCTGACTGCCCACCCCCCACCTCACTGGTCTTTGACTGTCTTTTCTTAATTAATGAAAGTGAAAAGTGGAAGTGAAGTCGCTCAGTCGTGTCTGACTCTTTACGACCCCAGGGACTGTAGCCCACCAGGCTCCTCCGTCCATGGGATTCTCCAGGCAACAATCCTGGAGTGGGTTGCCATTTCCTTCTCCAGGAGATCTTCCCGACCCAGGGATTGAACCCAAGTCTCCCGCATTGTAGGCAGACGCTTTACCCTCTGAGCCACCAGGGAAGTCTTAATTAATAGATTCCATTAAAGTTTATTTACTTATTTAATTTTTAACTGTGCCGGGTCTTTGGTGCTGTGCGGGCTTTTTCTCTAGTTGCGGCAAGTGGGGCCTCCTCTCTAGCTGCGGTGGGTTGCCGCCTCACTGCAGTGGCTTTTTTGTCGCAGAGCACGGCTTCTGGGGCACGCGGGCTCCTAGGTGTGGCTCCCGGGCTTTGTTGCCCCGGGGATGTGAGATCTTCCTAGACCAGGGATCGAACCAGTGTCCCCTGCATTGGGAGGTGGATTCTTTATCACTGAGCCCCCAGGGGAGCCCGCATGGCCGCCCTTGATCCTTGTGCTATCCTGGGGTGGCCCCACGTCTGGAACGTTCAGGGCAAACCTTCCTACTTTGTGGCCACGACCTCCTATTTTTCTTGCTCTGGATGCTCCCTTTAACCCCTGTCCTTTAACCATATCAGCGTCACTCTGCTTCCCTCATCTCCTACGTTCATTTACTCCCCTAATTTAGCCATTGTCCATAGTGCCACCAGAATCCCCAACACCTTTAAACGATGGCTGCTCATCTGACAAATCCCACCCCTGGAGCAGTCCACTGTCTGCCATACCTGGGCCCACTGAGGTTGGCCAGAGTGATTAACTCACATAAGAAATGCATGCGGGCTCCCTGGTGATCCAGTGGTGAAGAATCCCCCTGCCAAGGCAGAGGTCACAGATTCCACCCCTGATCCGGGAAGATCCCACAGGCAGAGATGTAGCTATGCCCATGCACCACAACTGCTAGTGACCGCTCACTCCAGAGCCCGTGCTCCACAGCAAGAGGAGCCACTGCTACGAGAAGCCTTGCCCTGCAACTCGAGAGGAGCTCCCGCTCGCCGCAACTAGAAAGAGCCCCAGAGCAGCAAGGAAGACCCGGCACGGCCCAAAATAAACAAATTAAAAACTTTTTTTAAATGCCTCCAGCCAGGTGCTCACAGTCCTTGAAACACCTCCATGCTTCCCTCCTGCCCTTGACCATCACAGATTCTCCCAACACCTGCTTCTCCCCAAACCTCAAATCCCTCCCTGACAGCCTCATCCTACCTTCCTTCTTCTTCCCTCTTAACCTGTGAACCCTCCTGCCTCTGGGTCTGATTTGTTTCTTTTCTCGAGAGCACTCCTTTCCTCCATTTTGTTTGTCTTTGGGGATTTTAGGTCTCTTCCTCCAGGAAGCCCCCCTGGATGGCTCCTTCCCCGCCCCCGAGGCTGGACACCCTCAGAGCAACACACAGACGCTGGACGCCCTCTGTGTGCCCTCAGAGCACCTGCTGTCACCTGACAGCAGATGGTCCCACTCTGTGATGCTCTCCTAACTCTCATCCCTGTTGCCACGAACTCCTGGAAGGCAGACCTTCTCAGGGTCACCAGCGGGACCCTGGCAGCAAGAAAGGCATGGAAGCATTCAATTCTCTTTCATCCGCAGCCCGCACTTCCTACCTGTGTGTCCTGGTTCTGCCTCCCTCTCTCCATGTAGCAGGTTCCTGTTATTGTTTAGCCGTTGTTTAGTCGTGTCCGACTCTTTTGTGACCCCGTGGACTGTAGCCCTCCAGGCTCCTCTGTCCATGGAATTCCCCAGGCAAGAATACTGGAGTGGGTTGCCATTTTCTCCTCCAGGGGACCTTCCTGACACAGGGATGGAACCTACATCTCTTGCAACTCCTGCAGCTGAGTCACCGGGGAAGCCCATACCAGATTCTACCCCTTAACTCGGCTCACAATTTACTCCCTTTGCAACCTTTATTTTGGTAACCCTGGAAGGAGCCCATCCTCTTTCCCTCTGAATGCCCCAGGTATGGGTCTATGTCACCTGCATGCAGTTTCTCATTTACTTTTTTTATACTATAATTATTTTGATCTCCATAAGTTCCTTGCAGATAGGATCTCTAGCTATATCATCTCTCTGATCCTGGCAGTTCACCTAGAACATTTTGGAAGGGTAAATGGAACTGCAATAAGAGATGCTTATTGGAAATTTGTTTCCTACTGCTGTGACAAATTAACCATAAACTCGGTGACTTATTAAAAACAACATGGATTTATTATCTTCCGGTTCTGGAGACCAGGCCTCCAAAGCAGTGTCACTGGGCTGCAGTCAGGTCAGCACAGCTAGTTCCTGCTGGAGGCTCCAGGGAGAGTCCATTTCCCTGCCATTTCATCCTCTACAGGGCGCCTGCAGTCCTTGGCTTGTGGCCCCTTCATTGCATCCTTCCAACCTTCTCTGACTCTGACACTTCTGCCTGCCCTTTATAAGTACCTTTGTGATGATACTAGACTCATCCAAATAGGCCAGGGTAACCTCTCTATCTCAAGATCCTTAGCTTAATCATGCCTGCAAAGTCTCCATTACCGCATAAACATTCCCAGGCTCCAGGGAAGAGGTCTTGGCTTATGTGGGCGGGTGGGTGGGGCATCATTCAGTCTACTGTTGCTGTTCAGTCGCTAAATCATGTCCGACTCTTTGTGACCACATAGACTGCAGCACACCAGGCCTCCCGTCCCCCACCAACTCCCGAAGTTTGCTCAAAATCATGTCTGTTGAATTGGTGATGCCATCCAACCATCTCACCCTCTGTTGCCCCCTTCTCCATATTTATGATGTCAGTAATAATGAATAAGGAAGCCACACTTCTTGGCCCCCTGCTGTGTTAATTCCGCCAGAAAAGTTGGAGCGTCTCTTTCCTATGGGAGGAGGCTACCCGAGTAAGACTCCCAGGAATGCATCGTTTATAAAGTTCCCAGACTTTGGTCCTGAAAAGCTGGCCCCAAAAGACATAAATCACTGGATTCAGGCAGCTGTTGACAAAAGCAAAGAAGTTGGCACTCTGCAGGCCCAGATCGATGAAATTCTCCCAGAAGCAGCCTCTGACAGCCCTCACCTGGAACAGAAACTCCAGGAAGGCAAAGAAGTGGTAGGGCGCCCAGCAGAGCAGGAAGGCAGACACGAGGGTGAGGATCAGGGCGGTGGTCCTGCCATCCCTGGGCCCACCACACCTCGTCCTGCGGATGTCCCGCTGCCCCCGCAGGGCTGCCAGGATGTGATAGTTGAAGAAAATGATTGCAGCCAACGGGAGGAGAAAACTCAGCAGGGTTAACTCCACCATCCTTGCAAAGGGCCAGGCATCGTGGGGGTACCGCAGCACACAGGCGGAGACATTCAACTCCGGCACAGTCTTGACGGAGCGCAGCAGGAACGTGGGGAGACTCAGGAGTGCCCCCACGGCCCAGATGAGCAGACAGGTGCCCTGGGCCCACCGCCGCCGCCGCCGCCTCCGGCTGGCCATGGGGTGCACCAGCACGCGGTAGCGGTCCTGGCTGATGGCCACCACCAGGAAGATGCTGATGAAGAGGTTGGCCTTGATGATGCCATTGACCAGGCGGCAGAGGAGGGCGCCGAAAGGCCAGTTGAATTCGTTCCGGATATTCTCCGCCCAGAAGGGCAAGCCCAAGACGAACACCAGGTCAGAAGCTGCCAGGTTGGCCAGGTAGATTTCTGCCGCATTCAGACGCTGTCGGGCCACGAGGAAGACGGATAGCACGAAGAGGTTCCCCAGCAGCCCGCAGAGGCAGATGGAGAGGACGCAGGTGGGCAACACTCTGTGAAGCAGCGCCCAGGCTTCCCAAGCTTCGTCACAGGACGTGGCGTTCGGGGGCAGGGGCTGGCTCTGGTTGGGAGTCTGGAGCTCCAGAAGGGCCCAGGACGCCATCCACGGTGACCTGCAAGGCACAGAGCATCGGAGCATCACGTGGGAGGCAGCCGACTCTAATCCGCGACCTATCCAGCCTGCCTCCGGTTGGTTTGGGAAAATAAAATTTTATAGGCACATGGCCACACTCATTCATTTACATTTTGTGCTACAACAGCAGAGTTGTGTGTTTTTTTGTAAATTAATTAATTTATTTTAATTGGAGGCTAATGACTTCACAATATTGTAGTGGGTTTGCCATACATTGACATGAATCAGCCATGGGTGTACAGAGCTGAGTGGTTGACACAGTGGCTGTTTGGCCCGAAAATATTAATCATCCATTCCCTTAGAGTTTCACTAGTGACTCAGATGGTAAAGAATCTGCCCGCAATGCAGGAGACCCGTGTTCGATCCCTGGGTCAGGAAGATCCCCTGGAGGAGGGAATGGCTACCGACTCCAGTATTCTTACCTGGAGAATTCCATGGACAGAGGAGCCTGGTGGGCTATAGCTCATGGAATCTCAAAGAGTTGGGCAAGACTGAGCAACTAATGACTAACACTTTCACTTTTCCTTTAGAGCAAAAGCTTGCCAACCCTGAGTATAAAGGAAAAGATGAAGGCTTTGAAACACAAGTTCAAATCCTGATGCAACCACGCGGTGTGGGCCACTTAGAGCCCCTGAGTTTTATTTTCCTTTTTGAAAATTGGAGCTAATCGTATCCTTCTTGTGGGATTATGTCGAAGACTGTATCTACGGAAAACTTGACCTGGTCGCCTGGCCTAGAGGAAGCGCTAAGTGGAAGCGCGGGATGAGTCTTAATATACAATCATACTATTATGATTAGCAGTTCAACAAATATTTAATGAGCACCTACTTTGTGCCGGAACTTTGCTAGGCACTGGAGATAAAGGGCCCAGACCCCTGAAAGTGCTTACCATCTAGGCAGACAGGAGACAGTGCTTTATGGCTGAAGACAGAATGAAGCAAGGAAGAGTCCTGGCCAGTGGAGATGTTGGTCCATTGGAACTGGGACCAGTAGGATGGAGAGGGTGGAGTCAATAGTAGAAGGTGTGGGGTTTCTGAGGCGTCACACTTAAAAATCCTCCCCCCGTTTGGATAAGCTAATATATGCACAGTGTTTCAAAAGGTCTCTGGCTCTCTGTAGGCACTTGCTACCTGTTAACTATTGTTATTATTTTGCTTATCCTTAGCAATGCTTGAGAGTTCTTCAGCTGGGCACAGCTCACAGTATCCAACACAAGATACCGCATAAGACAGCTGATCTCCAGACAGTCTATTTGGTTCTGCAGACTTAGGTAATCGCTTTGTGACTCTGAGCCTGACTTTCCTCATCTGACCTTCTCGCTGTGACACTGAAAGCCACATGCTATGCCATTCACATCGGGTCAAAACCACATGTCCCTCCATTCATTCATCCACTGGACAAGTATGTACTGAGCACCCACTACGTGCCAGGCATGGTTCTAGGCATTTGGGACAAGCAGTAACAAACAGCCAACACCACCCCCCCCCCCCAAGGTGCTTCTAGCCTCGTGGGAGGAGAGAAGCAACGATAGGAAGCACAGGGAACAAACCCGTTAGCCCGGGAGAAGCAGCTGTGGCCAGGCATTAGACATATTCCGAGGATAGGACCATCACGATTTTCCAATTGTGTATGTGTCATGAGAAAGGAGGGGTTGCATGATGCCTAGATTTTGGGCCTGAGAACCTGGAAATGGCAAATAGATGGGAAAACAGTGGAAAAAGTGGCTGACTTTTTTTTGGGGGCTCCAAAATCACTGCAGATGGTGACTACAGCCATGAAATTGAAAGATGCTTATTCCTTGGAAGGAAAGTTATTAGCATATTAAAAAGTAGAGACATTCTTTGCCAACAAAGGTCCATTTAATCAAGGCTATGGTTTTTCCAGTAGTCATGTATGGATGTGAGAGTTGGACTATAAAGAAAGCTGAGCCCAGAAGAATTGATGCTTTTGAACTGTGGTGTTGGAGAAGACTCTTGAGAGTCCCTTGGACTGCAAGGAGATCCAACCAGTCCATCCTAAAGGAGATCAGTCCTGAGTGTTCATTAGGGGAACTGATGTTGAAGCTGAAACTCCAATACTTTGGCCACCTGATGCAAAGAGCTGACTCATTTGATAAGTCCCTGATGCTGGGAAAGATGGAGGGCAGGAGGAGAAGGGGACAACAGAGGATGAGATGGTTGGATGGCATCACTGACTCAATGGACATGGGTTTGGATAAACTCCGGGAGTTGGTGATGGACAGTGAGGCCTGGTGTGCTGTGGTCCATGGGGTCGCAAAGAATCGGACACGACTGAGTGACTGAACTGAACTGAACCTGGAAATATGAACTCGCCATCAACTGAACTGGATGGAGTGGAGACAGAGCAAGTTTTTAGGGAGATGGTCAGGACTTGACCTTTGGACATGGGAGGCTGAGCTGTCTGTTGGACATCAGGTGGGGATGCCAAGGTAGTGAGCTACATATGATTGGTGTTAAGAGACCAAGTCTGAGAGTGATACATCCGCATCCTTGGGAGGTGTTTTTTGTTGTTGTTGTTTTGTTTTTAATATTTGTTATATTTATTTTGATTCACTGAGTCTTAGCTGTGGCATGAGGGATCTTCGATCTTAGTTGTGGCATGCAAACTCTTAACTGTGGCTTGGGAGATCTAGTTCTCTGACCAGGGATCAAACTCAAACCCCCTATACTAGGAGCTCGGAGTCTTAGCCACTGGACCAGCAGGGGAAGTCCCCATCACTGGGAGTTGTAATCACATGGATGGTGTTTGGTATTTAAAGCCACAGAACCGGGTGAAATCACCAAGTGAGAGTGTAGGCAGAGGAGAGAACCAGCTGCTAGGCTGCCAGTTGACCGGTCAGCAAAGAACACAGGAAGTGAGGGGTTAGGAGGCGGTTTAAAGATGTCTGCGGCTTAAAGAGTTCTGACCTAGAGCGTAAAGAATAATAGGAACGCTCTTATTTTGTCATTGATTTCAGGGCATAAATCCACAGCAAAATATTTATTTTGTTATTTGGTGATACTTAACAATTTCACAATAAGCCCTTCTGGCAGCAATGAGCAAAAAAAGTTTAATGACAATTTAAGTCCTGAACTTCTGTCTCTGGGAAATTGATGATGAATGTGTAACTTGCACAAAATATTGATGCTTAAAAGTGGGCCTTTAGCGATTTCTCTGACCTCAAGAAAACTTGACACAAAGCTGCTACTTCGGAAACTGTTATTTTTCAAAGATCAGCTGGAAAACATCAATTTCACTTCATCGCTGCAGAAGATGCTGTCATAGGTCACCCTGGGAGGATGACTTTTCACTTAGAGCAAACAAGTATTCTTTAAGTCAGCTCATTTTCAGCGTCATGCTATCTTGTATCCACACTACAATAGAAGTGATAGCTGATTAATGAAAAAGTTCCATAAGAAATCCACAGGCAGTGAAATAGAGCCAGTCTGATAACTGTCTTCAAATAGAAAAGTCAGTCAATTTCAATTACAATTCAAGTTTTTAATCCAGTTCATGGAATCAAAGCAAAACTTATGAAAGTTCACCCTGGCAAAGTGAAAAAATGTATGTTTTGTGAATGCTGTTCTAAATTCAGTTTAAATTGTTCACATTGGAAAGAAAGTTGTATTTTTCTGATGATCACACACATTTTGGTGGGGCCCAGTGTCACAGAAACAATATTCTTGCTCAAACAAGAGACCAGTGAAGCAGAAATGTACTTTCAACAAGTTGTAGTTGCAGACCCAGTTTATAACTGCATACAAATAAGTTTCATTACGTGTGTGTGCATGCTCAGTTGCTCAGTCGTGTCAGACTTTTTGTGAACCCACAGACTATAACCTGCCAGGCTCCTCTGTCCATGGAATTTTCCAGGCAAGAATACTGGAGAGGGTTGGCGTTTCCTCCTTCAGGGGATCTTCCCAACCCAGGGATCGAACCCGCATCTCTCGCATCTCCTGCATTAGCAGGTGGATTCTTTACCCCTGCGCCACCTGGGAGGCCTGAAATTTCACTATCGTTGACAAGATCTACAAAGTTTTACAGCATAAGTTTCGTAGTTTAGACTTACTGAACTACGAACTTTTGTGATGAAGTTGATGAGGAAGTAAAAACAACTTTAGCATGTATTTTCTTTCTCTGCTGTCCTTCATCAATCAATTTTAGAAGATGTGGATTCTAAGTGCCTTAAAATGTTATTAAACTATTTGTTATAGCAGAGATGAGAATTTTTGATGAATTTGTTCTAAATCAATGAGGAATGAGCACCAAACAACATCTTCGTGAGCTTTTAGCAGAGCGTAGTTATTGAAAATAAAGCTTTATGCAGAAAATAATTGAAATTTATAGCCATAGAAGGAAAGGAGAAAATGATCAAACTAAGTGAGGGGAGGTCAAATGATACAGAAAATTTAATATTTGAATTCTATAGTGAGCTTTGGAATATCCCAATTTGTGGGAAGAATCTTTTCAATTGGAGAAGTTCATATTCTGTACAAAATGAGGTGAAGTTGTGAAAGCCCATAATCTGCACCATCTGAATTTGACAAAGCATTCAAAACTTTTAAGTAGCTGCAATTTATTTGAAGAGTCTAATATGCTAAAAATATTTGTTGAAGGAGCTCAAATTAAGGCAAAAAGACAGCACCTGTGAAAATATCTGGGTTGAAATATTTACATAATTCCATATGCAAAGTATCAGACTTGAGGATAGCCTCTGCTTAGCAGAATTGGCTCAGTTTGTCAGATACCTCAACACTTGCAGAGAACATCTTCATTAAATATATTCTGGTCCAAGAGACAAGTCAATTGAAGGTGCTTAATTTAAATTTATTAACCATAAAATTTGAAGAAAAAATTCAGGCAATTATATGGAACCATTCAAAACAATAAGACCATATTGAAAGAAAAACACATTCTTTTGAAAATGCCAGTGACATATGAGAGTCAGGTAAAAGCCTAAGAAACTGATT